GTTTTATTTTTTAGGTTTAATTTATTTTTATTTCAGTTTTGGTGTTAGTTTGCATTTATTTCCAGTTAATAACTTTAGTGCTTGAGCTTCAATTTAAATGTTTTGTTATATTCCAAGGCAACATTTCTATTTATTTCATTTCAGTAATATTTCAGTTAATAATTTTTTTAAAAATAATTAACAATAATAACCCTGTGGGATGTTATGTCCCACAATGCAATTCGAAAATTTTGAAACTTTTTTTTTTTACTCTCAATATGATTCAACTGCCAAGATAAACATTTTAATACAAAATTGGAGCACTATGCTAGTATTGCTTTCTGAAAGCAGCCTATGAGTAGATCTTACATGTCTCACTTAACATTCCCATATTCCCATGGCATTCTTCAGCTTGTTGAGTTCAGTGTTTGTTCCAGGGTTCTTTTACCATGATGGTAAATAAAAACAGTTTGAATCATTGTTTCTCCAGTGACAAAAGCAAAAGAAGAACAAAAACAGTAAAGAAATCACTAGAGCCCAAATGGAACCAGACCTTTATGTATTCCCCCGTCCACCGGCGGGAGTTCAGGGAACGCATGCTGGAGATCTCGCTGTGGGACCAGGCCCGGGTGCGAGAGGAGGAGAGTGAGTTCTTGGGAGAGGTGAGGACAAGATGAATCATGGTGTGAAATATTCAGTAGTTCAGGCTTCTTCTACCAGTTGATCACTTTTTTTGTATTTGCGTGCTATTTAGTGGCAGATAAATCTAAAATTGATCTTGCTACAATAATAGATCTAACTAGTGACAGTTTAGATCACAATATAGTTTGCATAAATAATGACAATAGTAATACTAATCATTATTTGTATCAAAATTAAAATATTTCTAATGCATATTGTGTTATTGTTGTAGTTAGCTGTTAAATCACGCAGTGTCACATTCAAAATCTCAAATTTAGAGGTTCAGTGACATGTTGTCATGCATTTGAATGTGAAACAAATGTTTGTGTGTAGATCCTCATAGAGCTGGAATCAGCGCTGCTGGACGATGAGCCGCACTGGTATAAGCTACAAACACATGACGTCTCATCGGTACCCCTGCCCAAGAGCTCCCCCTGCCTTCAGAGACGAGCGCTGCATGGAGACAGTCCCACACGCAGACTGCAGAGTATGTCTCTCTCTTTCTTCCTCTGTCTCTGTCTCTCTCGCTCACATCTTTTATGCACACAAAGCAGAAACATATGACAGAAAATCTCAGGTAAATGTACTGCTCGTATATAACTATTTAGCATTTTTGTATATAACAATAACTGCTTGTACTGCAGAATGTGGGTTTTCCTGTCACAAAACAGTTTCTAAGCATCTTTTCTAAAGTCTTGCTCCATTAATGTACTCTACAGTTGTATGCAAGCACTAATGCTTCATAGGATTACCTTCAAATGTCTTTTATTAACCTGGATATGTTATTTTGGCAATATACTGAATATTCACAATATATTCCTGATGTGATTTGACTATTAAAAAGTGATTTACTTAAATTTACTCACCTTCAGGCCATCCAAGATCTAAGTTCATTTGTTCATCAGAACGGATTTGGGGAAATTTAGCATTACATCACTTGCTCACCAATGGATCCTCTGCAGTGAATGGGTGCCGTCAGAATGAGAGTCCAAACAGCTGATAAAAACATCACAATAATCCACACCACTCCAGTCCATCAATTAACGTCTTGTAAAGTGAAAAACTACATGTTTATAATAAAAGATTCAACTCAACATTTATTTATACAGCACATTCAAAACCAGAAGAATGGACCAAAGTGCTGCACAGAGATAATTAAAACTCTAAAAAATAACATACAGGTACAGCATGACACCAATATAAATTGTACAACAAAAATCACTCACAATAAACAGACCCAAAAGCCAAACAAGTCCACCATAAAGGTATTTTAACTTTAAACCATTGGTGGTGTGGATTACTTGTGGATTATTGTGATATTATTATCAGCTGGGTGACGGCACCCATTCACTGCAGAGGATCCTCTGGTTAGCAAGTAATGTAATGCTAAATTTTTCCATATCTGTTCCGATGAAGAAGCTGAATTTTTAGCAAATATAAAGATTTTGAAAGTATCAAAAATCAATTGAAAAGGACAGATTTTGGGTGAACTATTCCCTTACTCATTTTAAAAAAATTTTCTCTAGTTTTCTTAAAGACCATGTGATTAGTTTTGCGATTCTTCCTTGGAAATTGTATGACAAGATTTAGGCAAAAATGTTAAAGTATCTGTGATTTGAACTCCAGTAGCCAAAACCGTGGAACAGCTTGTGTTTCATGCTTTCATAGAGTACTGTATGTTTCGGGCCCAAGACCACACACATTCATAAGCACTCAGTCATCTGAGCTGAAATCTGAAACACTACAGCTGTTGGTTTGAGCGTTTGTGTCCTGCATTCATTGTTTTCTATCTTGACCTGGTTATTTCTGCAGCCAAAGGCCCATTTGTGTACAGCTCAGGTAATGACCGCTGCATGCTCAGGCTGATCCTGTGTGTTTTTATACTGGATCCACCCTGTTGTCCCTCTCACTCCCGTCAAAAACGAAACAAACACTGACCGAAGTGGACCATGTCCCCACACTGCCACTTTTTCCCATAGTGCCCTCTGAGTCTCCCCAGTGCTGCTGTTTTTCCCTCTTTGTTGCAGATCAGTCCGATCTCTTCATATACACTGTAGTGAACACAGGATTACAAATGATTAACATTAGCTATTTTCTTCTCATAATTGCAACTTTATTTCTCTTAACAGCAACTTTTTATTCATACATCAGAAATACAAAATTATATCTCAATGTGACTATTTCCTTTTTTTTAAACGTTATCTCACAAATGCATATATGCATACACAGGCACATCAGACCGTAAAAACATATTTCTTTAATCACTCCTTTTGTCAACATTTTTCGTGCAAATATATATTCTGCTGTATAAATGGTAAAGAAGAAAACACTACATTTTTCTATCATTCTGCGATAAATGCCATCATACAACCCAGTCCTAATTAGTCGTTTTCCCTCCCTTTGTAGTTACTAATTCTGCATAGCTGCAATAAATAATATAATATCTAATATCCCGCCTTTGTGTGAAATGCCTTTGAATTAGTTTAGTTTCTTCTCTTTTAAGAGTGAGTTTTCTTGGTTTTTGGTTGCTGTGTGGTTTTGTAGTTGCAGCACCTGTTTTGTAAGCATTCAAAGAGACAGAAGCAAAGAAAAATCCTCACAAATCATGTTCACTCCAGTAATTTTCTCTTCACTGACAGCAGTTAGCTAATCGTTTTGAAAAGTGTCACTAAAGAGCCATCTTTTTTAATATGCTCCGACATAATTAGGATATTATAAAGACATCCCTTACAAAGATTTAACATATGAACTGGTTCAACTGGATGATGGGTGGTTATTAATAATGCAGATTTTGCACTTACTTTAAGCTTCTGACATTGATGCATTGCACTCCATAAGAGAACTCTTATATATGTAATCCTAACAAATCAGTAAGACAGGTCGCAAGAAAACATCAAGTGATCCTTTATAAGTTTGTGAATCTCTTTTGACACTTCGGTGTACGAGTGTTTGATTTAGTGATTTAAAGAGACTGATTTATAGACCAGAGAGCTGAAGGAGAAAAGAGGACAGGCGAACGAAATGAGAGCAGGTTTATTGCTGGCTTGTCATCGCCATTAAAGCGCAAGGGTCTGTTTGGTGGGCGAGTGCAGGCTTGGGTGTCCGTTCTGGCTGTAGTTGTGTGAACGCCGCTCGGTAGATTAGCTTTCATTCTTGATCGGAACTGAGTGATGGAGCGGCCGCTTCAGAGTGTCAAACTCGGCAGACGTCAGCGCTGTGGGCTGAGGGACGCCGTTCAGCTCGGTTTGTTCCTCGTGACTGAAGCGAAGGGAGAAGAAGATCCATTTTCTCACGTAATACAAAGCTCAGTCTGCCTCGTTCTTGTTTTGTGGATTTGGAAGAGAGAGAGATGTCTGACTGACATGTTCGGTTATCTGTGAGTAGTCTGAAATAGACAGGCATTTCGAGTGCACTTTTGCACTTTTTATGAGCGTCACAGAGGAAGATGAATGAACAGCAGTTTGTCAGTTGTGGTTAAGCAGTTATGTTCCAAAACGTAGTGAGCTGCCTACCTAGACAGCGATTTAGGGCATCAGGAATATTTTACCAGTGTTGTTTTTTAAGACATAAAAAAACAAAACTATTAAATCAAATTTTAGCTCATTGAAATAAAGCTGATGTGAAATAAAAAAATAAATGTGACCGTGGACCACAAAATCAGTCATAAGGGTCAATTTTTCGAAATGTAGATTTATACATCATCTGAATAGATAAGCTTTCCATTGATGTATGGTTTGTTAGGATAGGACAACATTTGGCCGAGATACAACTATTTGAAAATCTGGAATCTGAGGGTGCAAAAATTGCCTTTAAAGTTGTCCAAATGAAGTTCTTAGCAATGCATATTACTAATCAAAAATTAAGTTTTGATATATTTACAGTAGGAAATTTACAAAATATCTTCATGTAACATGATCTTTACTTAATATCCTAATGATTTTTGGCATAAAAGAAAAATCTATAATTTTGACCCATACAATGTATTTTTGGTTATTGCTACAAATATACCCCAGCGACTTAAGACTGGTTTTGTGCTCCAGGGTCACAAATATTAGATGGAAAAACTTTGAATAAAAAAAAAAAAATGGAATGAAAATTAGAAATGTTGCCTTGGCAAATAGCTGAAATAATTTGAAGTATACTGAAAATGAAAAAATCTAATAAGATCAAATATTTAAAATGAAAACAGAAAATATAAAAACATATTTAAAAAAAGAGTTTAAAAAGGGTAACATTGAGATTGTGACAATTATAATGACAACTAATGTCAACTATAAATATTATTTTTCATTCATTCATTCATTATATTTCATTCATTTCCTGAAAAGAGCTGATAAAAATTGTTCTGTTTAATTAAATAATTTAAATAAAAGTTTAAATAGGAATATTAACCAATACTTGAAGGGGAAACATTTATTTATTTATTGATCAATTAATTGACATATTTTGTATTTGTGTAGGCTGTAGATAGAAAGCTCATGAGATTTTGGAACAGAGCTATTATATAAATATGTTTATAGTGCAGAAACCATAGAATGCTACATCACATGATCCCGTCTAGCTACAGACCGCTCTAACACTTGTCTCTCTGTGTGTCTGTTTTTCTGCTGTAGGGTCTCAGAGGATCAGCGACAGTGAGTTCTCAGACTATGACTGTGAGGATGGTGTTGGCGTCCTATCAGGTAAGATGTTAGCAGGAACACGGTGAAAATGACACCGTCTGACAGAGGTGGTGAAGACGTTAACTGCTAAATGTGTTCAGTATAAAGTCACTCTTTGCCTTTGAAAACAAACATCTCAGAACCATGGTTATTTCCAAATGATGATGACTGGAAGTATGCAATGTGATGGGGTAATGTGGAAAAAAAAAAAAAAAAAAAAAATATAATTATTTTTA